GGCGAATACCTGAGCTATAGCTTGGCATTTATACAGAGGGACTGTTATTAAGTTACCCCATTTTCTCCATATCCTCTACAATTACTACTCACATGTTCTTGACAGAACATTAAATTTGCAACACCATAGGAAGAAAATACATCTTGCAACGTTTATTCTTGGCTATCGTTAACTGTTGCACAAAGGTTTAATGGGAAATGTTCTATCAGTAAGCATATTGATGCTTCAAGTTTCAACATGGCTCGACATTTGTAGATGCAAACCTGCTAAAATGTAGTAACAAATAAACCAACTCTGCTCTCCTCTTCAACAATCTCAAGTCCTCAACTCAACTCCATTAATTCCAGAGCACTGTTTTATGTCATACAAACTCCACCCTCTACTTTTACTTCAACCCTACTTCATAACATTGGTTATGCATCAGAGGTAAAAAAAGAATCACATTTTATTTTCATTTTATTATTATTATTATTTTTTTTTGCATTTGTACAAGCACTTCACACCACCTCCTAATCTTAGCCCCTACAAACCTGATGCTTCACTTATGACAAAGAAAATTAATCTCAAAGCAGATTTTGGGGTAGAAAATTGTGACATTTTCCAACAGACCAGCTTTTCTGGCAGATCTTTCCTGGGTTAGAATGCTGTCAGAATAATAGCTAGCCTTTTAGAAAATGATTCATTATTTTCCACACCAACATCTGCAAGGAGGTTAAAAGGAAACAACAATGCCATGGTTTCATTTCAACCACTATCAGGAAACATCCCTGTGCAGGCTTATCTGGCTCAAACATCTTTCTATTGCAACTATTGATAGGCACAGACCCCACAACACACCAATACATGTAGTTGAGCAGGAAAGTGGACAAAGTTGCATATAGGTTGGGCCTGGTAAATGATCAGGCATAAATACTGAAGTAAATTGATTAAAGATAAAACATCACACTAACAAGATAATGGCACTCCATATATGTACAGTTCTAGGACTTGGTGCTAGCATCATGCTGGAGTGAAATGGTGGATAAGCAAAACTAGTGAGGTTTTTGGTTGGTGTGACATTCACCTACCAATGACTCTATAACAGTACACAACATTGTACTTTTGTAGACATGGCTCAAGTTTGGCTGAGCATTCTCATGATCTACCATTGGGCAACT